AAGTCAGAATTGGACAGAAAGTTTCTTAGAGCAAGTCAAGTAAGGTGCAAGCAAGTAAAGTTGAACTTTGAGCGTGAACATTTATATTAAGTAATTCCTTTCTTGAGTCTAGTTGCAGTTTATATTTGATCTATAACTTTACGAGTTTATCGTTAATCAAGTTTCTAAATAAATGTTGTAATTAGTGTATTGTTACTCGTTGTTGTGCATAGTTTTTCTCGGAAGGAAGGTAGGATATTCGGGGAGGATAACGGTATCGGTATCCTAGAGCGTCACACAATGCTTAAACCCACGACCTCCTGCACAACAGTCTGATGCTTAACCAACTGAGCCAACCGTGTGATGGTTTTGGTCTTCAAGACACGTAAGCCTAACGAGGGTCCTGAAGAAGGTTAATAATCCCACTTACCAGCGACCCCATTTTGACCAAATCCCATAGTCCCAGCTATGTTTTGCTCAAATCTCAATCCCATTTTCTGATTGTTTCTCTCTCTCTCTCTCTCTTTTTTCTTTTCTTTTTTTTTTTTAAGAATGTTTGTAAACCCTATTCCCAGTGCATAAAATCCCATTTCCCAGACCAAAAAAAGAGGCGAATCCCAGCTTCCATTTTACCCCTTCAGGACCTTATCGACATTTTGTAGTGCGGTACAAACTATAAAAATCTAATTTCCTATAATTTTTTTGGGAGGGTAACTGACCTTGGAAAGATAGAAAGATCTGATACAGGAATGCATTATAGCTAGAGATTTAAAGCGAACGTCTTGGCATGGCATCGCCAGTGACACCAAATGAGTAACCAGAACTAGAGTCGTAGTAAAGTTCTCGAAGGATAACAATWTTGAAGGAGCAGCTTGAACTTGTTCTGCACGTCTTTTGCTTCAGCTGAAAAAGGAAAACTGACCACATGAAAGGTTTTAATTACCTAAAAGGTGGCCGTAATATTTGATTGTCCAATAGAACTCTGATTGACAACTTACATATCAAGCTTATATTGCCCACTTTAGAAACGAGTTGAGGACTGGGAACGAGCTTTTAGAATAAACTTAGTTAAAAAATCAAACATAATAACATGAAAGATTACATTGAAATTAGTAAATTTCTGGAGTTTCTAGATTTTGGGTTTCATACCTTGTTTAATTTTGTGTAGCAGCCTCCCAAACATCTCAAAAATTACTGGGAACCCTTAGTTAACATACACAATCTTTGTAATTTTTTATGTTTTTGATTGCTTGTAATTTAGCTGTTACTTATCCAATCGAAGGCAAACTGCAGAAATCTGTTAATTTTGATGTGACCTTTTTTGTCCTCTCTAATTTTTTAATAAGATACCATCAGAAAAAAAACTGTTAACATTTGGTCAGCTACGATTTCAAGCTCACGCCCCCTCATGTAAGCCCATACAAATTATGTCTCAAAAACACGGTTTTTGGATC